CTTACGCGCAGCATGCCAAAGCTGTCAATAGGCTCCTCAGCTAACTCTGCGCTAACTCATGTTACAGGTGGGGGCTCCTTCCCTTGAAATCACAGATGGTTAAGCTGTCCTAGGGGAGGCTACGCTTACCAATTGGAAGCTTGCACAGACGAACAAGCTGAACAAGCTGTGTTGCTGAAATGAGCTAAACTTATAACTTCCCCTTCACTGTTCACACGGGAGCGAGAGCTGCCATCCCGGACCACAACGATCAGTACTGGATCCCATTTGCATCAAAGTACACAGGACATACGTTGGATACAGGATAGACAGGAACATGTATCACCAAGTTTAATATGGGCGTTGAAACCACAAACACTCTTGACCTCGGACTGTATCGTGGTGGGCGGCTCTCCGTGTCAGGGGCTGCTGGCCAGAGCCTGCAGTCGACTATGTACTTCACGAATAAAATTAATAATTTATTTCCATTAAGCCTAACTTTCTATTACCAAGGCAAATAGTAGACAATGGAGGGGAACTGGCACGAGCAGAATCCCCGCCAGAGAACCGATATACGTCGCGGAGCCAGACACCCCGCTACGGAATCCCCAGAGCAATCTGAAAAGTTCANCAGAGAACCGATATACGTCGCGGAGCCAGACACCCCGCTACGGAATCCCCAGAGCAATCTGAAAAGTTCAGGGGCTCGACGACTGGAAAGGGGACTAAACGTTACAGCATTCCATGCTTACTTGTTGTTTGTCTTATAGTAGGGGCTCTTTTGGTAACTTACTTTTGGAGGGCACAGTCTGCCTCTCCCTTTCCGATTGACATTCAGGGGCTCATTGCGCGCTCCGCAGAGCTTGCCTTCCCAAGCTCACCCAGCACTCAGACAGGTTCTTCACAGCCTTCAGTGCGTATCATGGCGCCACTTACAGAGCTCAAGACGTCAGTTGTCAAGCCTGGGGCGGGACCAACAGTTGCAAAGGGGCAACGTGTGACAGTCCACGCCACCGGTTCTGTGCTTCATCCCGACGGCACCACGAAGAAGTTCTGGTCAACGAAGGACCCAGGGCAGCAGGTACATTAAGCCGTTAGAGCACCTTCTAACACTTCCACTAACAGGAGTTGCATGCAGACGAAAGTGAAATGCGCACTTCACATCCGCGCCAGTCTCATTGCACACTGAAAACGTTGATACTCTCAAGCAGTCCTTCTCGGGACACGCAAGCAAATCTGCATTGTGTGCAAACCAGTCATTTTTTTCAATGTCTGCATCCGCAGCCCTTCACATGGCAGGCAGGCCTTGGCCAAGTGATCGCTGGCTGGGATCAAGGTGTACTTGGCATGAACTTGGGGGAAACACGCATGATCTACATTCCAGCAAAGAGTAAGCTTAATGGACAGGTTCTTTAATAGCTGAGTAGACTATAAAGAATCACTCAAGTATAGGTGAGGTACTCATGGATCGATGTGCAATTGATTCTGTGTCTGTTGCGCAGTGGGGTACGGACAGAACGGATTCCCAGCATGGGGTATCCCGCCCAATGCTGACCTACAGTTCGAAATTGAATGCCTGAAGATCCAATGAACAACTTCACAACCCAATGTTTGTTCGCCAGCGCAGAGCACGTGTGTGGTGCTCGGTCACGCCTTGGCGGCCGACCTCTGCATTTTTCTCAAAAAAAGGCANCGCAGAGCACGTGTGTGGTGCTCGGTCACGCCTTGGCGGCCGACCTCTGCATTTTTCTCAAAAAAAGGCAGCAAACTTTCCACTGCCAACTTTCCTCCTTTAATTTGCATTCTTTGAAGTATCCGAGCAAAATCGTCCACAATGTGGAAGTCAAGGTGCATTTCGGGGAATGTGTCGTACATCTTGTTTTGCAAGAGCTAATATTGGACGGTAACATCGGATGCGCTTCACGCCTAGTGTTTCAAGATGTGCGCATCTAAATAACACTATTCAAGAGTCACTGGAGCATTTGCTCCACGCAGTGATGTAGCTACCTGCGGGATGAGTACCGCTTTGTAGAGCAGCTAAGTGTTCGCAATGAGTCGAAATGCGAACCACGAAAGCGACGTGCACCGCTTGGATCAGCTGAGTGCCGGAACAAAGATTACTGGTGCGATCACCTTGGAGTTTTAAATGCTGGCACTAGAATCTAAATAAGATGGAGGCAAATCGCCAAAGCGAAGCGCGCCATCTGGAAGAACTGAGTTGCGGAACGTGGTGTTTTTAGCATTCAGCTTAGCGTATTAAATACTGGTCTAAGAAGTTCAATAGAGCTATTGTTCGAACTTGACTCAACCAAAAGCCGCCTAACGCGCCTAACGCGAACACNAGAAGTTCAATAGAGCTATTGTTCGAACTTGACTCAACCAAAAGCCGCCTAACGCGCCTAACGCGAACACACTTTAAAAAACTGACGAAGTGTGCGGAGTATGCGGAGCTGGCATTTTGCAGTGTCAAGACACCGCAGCCTGTTTCATGCCATGCGCGGGCGTTCATTTTGCGCATTTTCATTACGACCCCCCATAGAACTTCTGGCATTTTGTTGGGCTTTATCCCGTTCAATTTCCAGCGACTGAAAATGAAGCTCACTTTTGTCCCTATTGCCTTAGTTCTGTCCACGTTCACAACGAGCCATGTGGTGCTTGGCCAGGGCAAGATCCTCTCGGCGTCAATGTTATCGGGCATGTTCTTTGGAACGAACACACCGGAAACTGCTGTTCCTGCAAATGTTGCAGCAACCGTTGAAGCTGCAGTTGGATCTGACGCTCCTTCCGGAGGAGATGAACTCAGCGCTAGCGCGACAAGCGGTTCCGCGGATCTGACTCCCAAAGCCGAGGTCGTGAGAGAACTTGCTGAACAAACACAGGGAGCCGATTCTGGAGCGCCCGGACAAGAAGTACTGGCGAGCCAAACTGATGCTCGAGCAGCCAAGGCCGAAGAGGCAACTGAGAAGATCGTCGCAGCTGCCGGTGAAAACGCAGCACCCGCAGCAGCAGTCCCCAGTGATGCAGCTGCTGTGGAGACGAAAACTTCAGCAACCAACATGGAAAAACAACAACTTACCGAAGAGGATGCCGCTAAGAATTCGGAGCTTTTGCAATCCGTCAGCGAGTCTGCTGAGACATCTTGGATCGCTAAAGTCAGCAAGGATAGTGCCATTGAAGCTCTTCTTCCACTTGTTGCCCTGACACCCGTCTTGGCGGCGGCAGGATTCCATGCTGACATCGACGAATCGACACCTGGAGCCCCCCTCGTTCGCTTCCCAAGTATCGACTACGCCGTACACGTAGAAGACCTCAAAAACTACGCTTAAGGATTAAAAGAATTCGAGATGCTGGTGGCGCTTCAACAGGAGACCGGAAAAACCAGCTCCACGTGACTGCAACACGGCTTCGGTGCGGCTTGGACTGGTGGGGCATGAAGTGAGCTCCCACGGTGCTGTCCTCCCTATTGTTCTATTGGGATGCTTGTTCGAATCCTTCGGTGCACAACTCTCAATGGAAACATTTGTGGACACCACCGCACGGAGAGACGCTGCCTCTCGATGCCAAACACGGCTTTCCCTCTAAAATAATTGTTTTTTCTTGAGAAACAACTCGCCATTGTCTGAATGTGGCTTTCAGGCCATTCACAAATATATGCAGGGTAAGGTGTTCCCTTCGGNAACTCGCCATTGTCTGAATGTGGCTTTCAGGCCATTCACAAATATATGCAGGGTAAGGTGTTCCCTTCGGGAAAAGTCTGCTTCCCACCTGGGAACATGCCACTTGGCAAGATATGTGGTGATGCACGATTTGCAGCCTTTCACATAGAGAGATTTGCCTAGGAAGTGTATAGCAATTTAGCCAGAAAGCTTCTACATATTTGAAAGTTAGCGAGCAGCCCGTCCTGTATCGAACAGAGCTTACAATAAAGCGCAAAGCCAGCCAGTACGAACGTTCCAAAACACTTTGCACTCAGCCCCTTCGGACTCTGCAGCGTGGGGAACAACAACGGCACTTCTGGGAAGTCACTCTTCGTTGGCATTGAACCACATCACAGTCTGACTTGTTTAAGAAGGAGACCTGTTGAGGATTTTGACAGTCAAACAGGTGGGTCTCCATCAGCCGCAACCGCGCGTCGATGTTTATATCAATAAAAAATGCGAATATAGGCTAAAAGTGATTGAATGACAGTCGTCTCACTGAAGTCCTGTGTCTCCTCCCTAAGTTGTACTGTCTTCTGGCGGGGCCAGCACCACACTGCACTTGCTGCGCCTGTCGTGGTAAGTTACAACAGCGCTCTTAGACTCCGAACATCATGGGAAAACGAGAAACAAGTTTCGGTGCTCCATTGATGCTAAAAAAGCTGTGCACTTTACACTCGTGAGCGCTGCGCTGTTGTCGTTGATGGCTCAAAGTGGAATGCGGAATGTACTAGCTTGTTGCTGACACACTCCGGAAGTCTCTGGTTGAAACCTAGTCGTATTCCGCATCCCACAAAAACGGGATCGTGTGTAATGTTGATGAACAGTAATGCTTCCGTCCTCGGAAAGCAGAAGCTGCAACTGGTAAATTGTGCTTTTCGGGACAGGTTTTCATGGTACTGTAGCTGGGAGGTTCAAAATTAGGTTAAAATTCGTACTGGATGAACTGAAGTGCTCCATATGCTGAGCTTTTGGGAAGGTGAGCGTACAACTGGAAGTGACTCGACGCGCAGCGGGTGTTGTTTGCGCCTCGGCTCAGTATGACGCCATCTGTACGCGAAACGCGGCGGGCATTATCCGCCAACGCAACTTCATTTATGGGATAGATTTCTGCGTTTCAGACAAATTAGTTCACCGGCTAGTGCAGCTGTGTGGGGCAGTCTCCTCCGACTCACGGCCAGTTCCTGTGCTTCCGGTCGCCCGGGCCCCGTAGTCTGGCTGGTTTGTCCACTGGCAGCAGGATACGCCTTTGACGGGGTGAGAGTTGACTGAATTGTTTGAAATCGAAACAATTCAAAAATAAGCGACAATTTGTAGAGGATCCCTCTTAATTGCCTTCTCCCTTATTGGCCGTCCCTTGGCCCCCTCCTTGCTTTGGACCTTTTCATTTTTTTCGGAAGTTTGCGGAAATGAGTGGCGGCGCTGCAGGTAAACATGAACGCAGTTCTTTCTCCGTATTATTTCATCTATTCTCATTCTTAGTCTATCCTCCAACCGTTCCGTTCGGCTCTGTCGTCAGCACTGCCGCATTCACTGAGCAGTGCTTTGGAATGCGCAGCGCAATGCACTGTCTGTCTGGGTCCAATATTTCCTCCCCTTCAGGCATACGGCTGCTATTTCTGTACATATTTATAGTATATGTGTATTCTTGTGGTTTTTACTTTGGTTGCTGTGCGATGCTCGTGCAGCAGGAGGAGGGCAGGGGGCTCGCATAGTGCTTGAGCGGGACACGTGGTTGGTGGAGAAATTCGAAAACCCGTCTGAAGTTCAGAAGCTTTCTGAAGGCCAAATGAAGCATAAAGTACAGGTGATTGAAGAAAAGCTGAAAAACGTTTCAGCTGTACACAACACAACGCCCAGAACTCTTCTACTTGCGAAACACACAACACCCACCCATTCAACTCTTGCAAAAGAGAAGAACTCCGCCATACAGCACTACTCTATGGCTTTGTTGGAGTTTCTATTTATGTGTATCTGTTGTTAGTTTGTTCCTTTTACAGATATGGAATGCGTTCGTTCGTCGTATTTAGGCATATTTTTATGTGTTTGTTCTTTCTACTTACGGGCGTTATGTGTTGTTGCCTGTATATTTACACATACTTTACGCCATCGCCGTTCCGTTTACACCTAGGTTGTGCGTTTGTTTGTCCTTTTCCGTCTGTTTCCTGTTGTGTGACTTCTTAATTACTTTTGCATGCAACAGACATTGCCCGCGTACGCATACGCGTCACAGGTGAGAACCGTCCACAGCATTTGTGTATGTATATAAGTACATATGTATATATACATATATATGTATATACACATGTGTTTACTCGTTTTTGTGTTTGTTTATAGGTGTATTTTGTTGTGTGCGTTTCAGGTGCGGGACTGTCGGGGTTTGGCTTTGCAGGTTGAGCCGAAGATGAATTCGTTGATTTTGGATTCATGCGAGGATACTCGGGTTTGTGTGAACAGTTTGATAGCTTCTGTTGAAATAGTGAATTGTAAGAAGATAAAGATACAAGTACTGGGCAATGTGCCGTCCATAACGATAGACAAGAGCCAGAAGGTGGATTTGTTTCTATCAAAGGAAAGCAAAGAAGTGGAAATAACAAGCAGCAAATCCTCCGAAATGAATCTAAATGTTCCTCTTGAAGGAGAAGAAAACGACTGGCAAGAAATTCCCATTCCCGAGCAGTTTCATCATAAACTAAAACCCGACGGAAAGCTGCATACGCGGGTCTCGGACTTGTACACGAGCTGAAACGCAGCGAAATGAAAAAAATAAATACCAAAGAAACTCAAATAAAATCACAAAATATATAAAGATAAACTTAAAAAACACAGAAATACACAAA